ACTCCCATCAAACCCAGCTAGGACCCTGTGTTCACTCATCCGTTTTGTTTAATCATCAGTCCGCCTGACTCCACAAGGCTCCTTAGTGAGCAGCCGGTGGGAGAAGAGAATGAAGACCCACAGGATTCACTGGATGAATGTTATTTGACTAGTTCAGTTGGCCATGACCTGTCAGACTCCTGTAGGCCTTACAGAGGTGTCTCATTCCCATGGGACCAACAGAGAGTCTTCTCAGCGCTTGTTGTAGATGGTGAGTACTCCCCTGGACAGGCCAGACAGCTCCTAATGGGTCCCCAGGTATCCTCTATAGTCTTTGTAGTCAACAACCTCTATAGATTATGTCAGTCATTTCTGTAAACAAGCCCTGAGACTTGTGTTGATTTGAATCAGGCTGTTGGATTTAATTTGCAGAAGGCATCATGTGAGTAAGAGAACTTTCCTTTCCCCACGTCTCAGGATGCCTTCTGTCACCTGGACCACCTTCACCATTGTAGGCTGTTGGAATCAAAAGGCTGGAGACGGGAAGTGAGATGTGTGGGATGTGGCCCAGCCCTGCCAGGCCATGATTCAGAATGGGCAGGAGAGGCCGAAATCCCCCACACAAATGGGCTGAGGTGAATGAATGGGACACATCAATTATCCTTGGATCCGTCCTCTTTGTGGCTTCTGATCATGGCCTGTGAACAGTGTGTACAGCTGTGATACTGGCAGTGAGGCCACAGGAGATCTGCTCTTTCGCCCCATCCGCCCTGATCAGGGAGAAATGCTGTAGGCACAGCACAAACACTTGATCTTTAAAGACAACTTCAGATTTTTTGGAGGCTCTTCTCTACTTTCCAAACTAATACTGTTGGGGATTTCTTGTGATGTTTGATGAAATATTTTGCCTTTTCCCATGCAAATGGAAAGAATTTTCAAAGCACAGTTTAATAAAACCCATTTGTTGGGAAAAGGGAGAGAAAACGAAATGAGGAAATGAAGCAGTGATATTTTAAAATAATGCTAGAATGTGATTCAAAATAGCATTTGAGCGTGGGTTTACTGGGTTTGAAATTGTTTCATATAATAAAGTTTTTAATTTCAGAGATGTTACCCTTCACACCAATGTGAATTATCAGTAAACCTTATTAAGTATCCTGAAATCCAGTGATTAATGATGAATAGACTGCCTGGATGGAATGAGAAGGGCACAAGAGGCTGAGAGCAGTGATTCTAGGAAAAGCCCAGGAAGCTCTACAAGGTCCTGGTGCAGGGCTGGGGTCAGGAGGGGCAGCTCACATCCAGGGAGGAGTTGGACAAGGGGGATGTGGGAAGTGATGTTCCCGAAGAAAGAGGGGTCGGAACATAGCAGGACAGTCCAGGCAAGGTGAGGATTTGAGTTCATGTAGGGAGAGTGGGGAGTACCAGTTTCCACAGGCTGAGTAAGACTGGTGAGACTGCTGATAGTGTGGAGAGACAGAATCAGACGGAGCAGTTAGAAGGAGGTTGGATCAGACACCCATGAGACTCAGACAGAGTGCGCCCTCTGGAAGACGACGTGGTAACAGACACAGGAGAGACACGTTTAAGAAACACTGAAACAAACCTTGTTGAGCAGGAGGGTCTTGAGGGCGGACCTGTGAGGGGAGCCCCACAGCAATGGGGAGCAGGCCCCGTGGGCCATGAACCCACCTGAGCCGGCCTGGACTGGATGAGCTACTTGAGCTCTTTGGTTAGCCCACTTTCTGAGAATACGGATTCATTTCACGGTGAATGTAAACATGTATGATGAGCAGCAGTGCCTGGTGCCCCTGCAGGGGGGTGTAATATAAGGAATGTGCACTGTATCATCTCCCAGAAGAACCAGACATCCTGATTCTGTAGCTTCCAGTAAGGGACTCAGACCTCAGCTACCCTACTTACAGGTGCTATTATCCACCAGCCCACCCAGGACACATGTAGCCACAGGACGTATCCCCGTGTGGTGGCTGGAAGGCCAGTCAAAACACACGGGGAAGGGAGTTGAGAAGGCTCCAGAAGTGGGAAGAGTTCTCATAACTTGGTCCCCGTGCTATAGTCTCTCAAGTCCCTTTTCTAGTGGAATTTGAAGCCTTTAGGCCCTACTTCTCTTGTTACTTCTGTATTCTACTTAGACATCAACGATTCTTTGTCCTCCCTTCCCTGAGGCCTGTCCAGAACCTTGTCTCCAGGCTACAAGGAAAGGTCGCTAATAACAGACCCAAAGTCATGACCTCATCTGCCTTCCAGTACCCTCTGGACCCAAGTGGGTGATTTTTGATCTCAGCGATGTTGCCGCCTCGCACCTGCCATCTCAGCGTCCCCAGGCACAGCCGTGAAAATGAAATCTCCTTCATGTCCATGACGTGTGCCTCTGTTGTCTGGCTGACTGGGTCGTCTCCGTGATAGGCAGCGACGGCAGAAATGGGTGTCATGGGAGGGGCTGACAAAGGGAAAGTTGCATTGGCCCTACTGAACTGTTCTCTCCTTTCAGGTGACTCCTGGGAGGACCGTCCCCAAGGGCCTTTGAGTTTCCAAGGGTCAGAGATGCAAGCTTCACAAGCACAACTGCAGACAAGCTCCCAGGTGACCCATCACCTGCAGCTGCAGCGGGACCAGCAGTTTGACTGTGGTGACGGCAACGCCAGGCTCGGCCTTTCCTCCACCGTGTGGGGCTTCACAGCCAACACTGAGTTTGGAGACCAATGGCCGCCCCTCCAAGGTAAGAAAGAAAAGGAAGCTGTAGTCCAAGAGCTGGTCGTTCCAGGGCTGGGGGTGGAGGAGACAGTGGGGCCTCTGCCATGCTCCTTTCATGTCCTCTCGAAATCCTCAATGCTCTAACAGAGGGTAGCGAGCAAGAGCCTTAGATTTAGGGCCGGCTCTGCCCCAGGTCCTGGGTTTGCAAACGCCTGGTTTTTTAACTGAAGCAACTTATTTATCTTCTGAGGTATTCACTTCTTTTTTCCCTTATCTGACCTCCCGAAAGTTAAATCTGCCTTCCAGGGTTGTTTTCAGTGTTCAGAAACATAGTTCCCAGAGTCCCTGGTTCGATAAAACCTGCGTCAGCGCACCTGTGACTGTGTGTTCTCTACCCATGTATCTTGCTGGAGATTTCACACTTACACAGTGCGTGCAAATGCAGTCTCTCAGCTGAAATGCGGGACTTTGGATGGTCAACACTTTCTCTAGACCCCGTCTTCCCTCGCTTTCTCAGAAAGGCACGTTTGCCAGTGTTCTCTTCTCATCATCCATCCTCAAGCCAATTTTCCCCTGTCAGGTGCACTCAGTAACAGTGAGTTTCTAACGTTATGTAGCAACGTAAAGACTGACCGTACACTTCAGTCTGCTGTTTCACATGGCGGTTGTTTTTCTGTTTTTAGCCCTTTATTTAAAAGAAAGAACCACCTTTGTAGATGAGGTGAGCCCCTCAGGTTCTTTTCTGATACTCCATTTAATTTGTCCTCTTCACTCATCTCCACGGTCATGTCCTCAGTTTTCTTACCATGATCCCACTCTTCTCTGATTTTCGTAAATGAGCTTTCAAACCCTCACGTACATGTCATCTCAGTCGTATTCATCTTTCCCCTCTACTGCTCTCAGTATCTCCATTAGAGACTGGGCCCGCCTGGTGCTCATCTGTCAGGCAATGGCCTCATCTGAGAAATGAGGAGAGGGGAGGTGAGAGAAGAAGGAGCACCACTGACCACCTTACAAAGATCTCATGGGAAGGGCTCAGGGCATGTTAGGGATGTGTGGCCATGACAAGTGCCATTAGCCCTAGTGGCATTTCTTTGTGTTCCCTTCCCTCTGGTCTCTCTTTTTCTTGACCTTGCCTTCCTACATTCCTGGCCAGGAATAAGCCCCACTGGCTCAGTCGCTCTCTCTCCTGCTCACTTTCCCCGGAGGCCCGAGTATGAATCCAGGCATCACAACAGCTTTTGCTGCAAAGCCTAGTCTTCATGCCCTTTATTCTCATAATCGCCCAGATCTAATAGTTCATGTTACCACCTTACCTCTCTTATTCCTCTTATATGTTTCTTTTTCCTTTTTCAAAGTCAACTCATCAGAGGCTGTTACAATGATGCATTGCACATCTCAGTTCCAATATCCATTTCTTCCTTTATACACACACACACTTGTGAGAGTTTTTGTATGTTTTTTAAACATCTTCCATGCCTTATTTAGCTTGAGTATGTATAAACATTATATATAGCGTATGAACATATATATGGGAAACATATACTGATACACATATGTAACGATTTCCCGTTTGGGGCTTCCCCAGTTCTTTGCATGTTGAGGTTTTGTTTCAACATTGAATTTGTTTACTTTCTACAATCCCTTCCCTTCCAGTAGTATAACCTCTGAATGCCCTGATTTCCTTACCTTTGTCTTTTCTAACTGGGAAATTTTTGTTTTCATGAATTCTATTTTTCTTTAACAAATATTCTTTTGGCAACGTGAAGATGTTTTCCTCTTGGCAATCTTACCAGAAATACATAGTTTGGGGACGATCAACAAAAGTGAAAACTACCAAGGTGTCTCCACTGGCTTCACCTGGCAGGGACGTTGAGATGGCCTCTTTTGTTCCTGGACACTTTGCTTACTTGATGTTCCACTTGGAAGACGAGTAAGTCATTGTAAGGTCATGTATAACAGTGGATCCTGTTTTCTGTGGTTTTATCTTCAGAGCTGGGTTTGGATGCTTCCATTGGAATGAAGAACCCCCCCAAGGGGGAGGGTGAGGGCTCAGCTGCCAGCCAGCATGAGTGTCAAGTCTCTAGCAACAGCAATGCCTCCAGTGTCCTGAAACAGAAGATTCTGCGAAGAAAAGTGCTGCGCAGCAAGTGGAGAATTGCATGCAGATTCCCTGGCCTTCAAGCTTAGGGGACAGAGGTAATCACATCTAGGCCCTTCCATGTACGTCTTCCCTGTTGCTCCTCATCTAAGATTACAGCTCAGACTCCACTCTCTTTTCTCTTCCTTGTTCATTCACTGAAGATTTGATCCTACCTGCGTCTGGTCTTTCCTTGTTTTTCTGTGGGAGCTGCCACCCTGCCAGGCCCTTCCATCCCCACTTTCTGTTTGTAATGTGAATTCTGCTGTGTTCTTGCTGCTGCTGCTGCTGCTGCCCTGGTATTTCTTCTCACCTCTACTCGTAGCTACTGGGAAGCCCGGCCCCGCGGTCCTCCTCATGAGAAGAGCGTCATTTAGGGCCCTGAACATGGGGTTCTTTGCCTGAAATCACACACTCCCTTGGTGTCATTGCCTTCCTTTCCCTACCCTTCCTCCCTCCACTCCACTGCCTCTTCCAGAATCACTGACGTCATGAATCACATGCACATGGGTTGGGTTTTGCAGAACACAGCTAGGACAACCTTCACTCCTCGACGTCTCCACGTGAATAAAATTGGTACAACTGAGGAATGAGAACCCTGGTTACAAGAACCAAATATAAATCTCTGTCATAGGTGGGAGCGCTGGACTGGCCTGGAGTCAGGTTTCTCGCCAGACACTGGTGGTCAGCTCTGTGCTAATGTCCATGGGGCTCCCAGTGCCTCACTGGAGCTGGCATTAGGTGGAGGACGGTAGATGGCACCCTAAAGGGACATTGGCCAAAAGCAGAGTCACAGGCCATGTGTTGACAGAACACAAAGAGCGTGACGTGCCTAGGGTTTCAGACCTCTCTTCCTTTTACTCACATGACTCTTACTACATGTTCAGTGAAAGTCCAGGAAAAAACATGGGCTGAGTTGGCATCTGACGCCAGGGAATCTAGGAGAGCATCCCAGTGAATTAACCTGGGGCAGATTTATGAAGACTCAGGTATACAGGATACAAGAAGATCATTGCCTCAGGCAAGGCCGTTTGAGAAGGCAAGTGATTTCCTCTAGACTGTGAGAAGGAAGGTGAAAAAAATCTTCATGGCCAGCGGGACAGGAGTTCATGGTGGAAGTAATGAAGCGAAGGAAAAAGAAATGTGTGAAGTAGTGTAGTCTAGTGGGTAGCTCTAAATCTTGCTATCATGAAGAAACCCTGGGTGAGCTTGGATCTATCTAACATGAATGACTCGACCCAACCCCTTGATATTCTGATTCTAACGTTCTGAGGTGAGGTTTGGGCATTAGTATTTTGAAAAGCTCTGCTGACATGCATCTAGGGATTGAAGGACTATGGATCTGGTGGAATATCAGGAAGCAGTAGAGGAGTGTCCCAAGGATCCTTGCTCCAGACAGCAGTCTGTTTCTGAATGTATATGAGGGATGCTCAGCCCATCCCTCCCTGGGACATGTGAGAAAGGCAGCACTTCGGTCCAGGTCAAGGGCAATCAAAAGTCAGTTGGTTGCTGAGGAGCCAGCGGTGGGGATCTGGCTAAGACTCTGCAGCAGCTGTGAGGTGGCGTGTCCCCAAATACTGGTGGGGCGAGGACAGGGGACCCTAGATTCTGCACCACAGTCTGCACGTTTGTTTCAGGAGGGATTTCTTCTAACGTGTGGATCTCACTTTTCCCTTCAGCCAGCCTCGGGCTCGACCTTCAGCTCCTCCTATCAAGACGATCCCGGGCTGCTCTTGCCTCTTCCAAACATGTGGTCATCCCCCCAGGCGCAGCCATCAACAGAACCCAACAGAGACCCACATTTGATCCCTCTGTCTATCTCCTTGTCCCTCTATCTCTCCTCTGTCTCTGTATCTCTCCTCTGTCTCTCTTTCACAGCTACCCAGTATTTTAGCTACTCTAAACAGATATTCCAATTTGGAAGAAACCGCATCATCAAATTTATTTTTCCTACTAGATGCAAAAAGTCTACGGCATGAAATCAAGTTCAAGTCCACACAGAACACTGCAGGGATCCTTTCCTGAGAATCATCATCACAACCACCAGCCCCATCCCATGATTATTATTGCAAAACACTGATTTGATGGGAGAACTCCCAGGCATCAGTCTCCAAACGTTACCCATTGAAAAGGAGACCAGCGCTTTGATGGATACTCAGCTTTGAGAGACCGTAATGCTCACTGCTCTCAATTGCCATCCTGTTCACACTGGCATCTGGAGCAGGTGGAAGAAGGCAACATGTCAGCCTGGACATTCTCTGCCACCAGATGGGCTGTGCTCGGTGCAGCCGGCTTTGAACATGCAGTGTCCGTGCTGAACAGGTTTCGTTCGAGTTTCATCACAAGGAAGTTATCAGACAACTGTAGAATCTAGACCATTGAACAGGACAACTGGCCTGTCTTTTTCAAGCTGCCAATGCCTCCACAAATGGGATCACAGAAAGGAGAAGAGTTATTTTGGGTTCCAAAGAACTAAAGAGATTGTGCTACTATATTTCTTTAGTTCTTTTGAGCCCAAAACCTCTCCTCACCTTACTGTGTTTGTCTTTAATGGTGGTGACATTGACTTGTTTGCAGAGGACAGGTCAGTTGTCTGGCTCAGAAGTCTACATTCTGCAGTTGTCTGACCCTTCCTCATGATGAAACTCGGGCCTAGCCTTCTGCCAAGGGCACCACATTGTGCACACTGTGTGCTTCCTAGCACAGCCCCTCTGGAGATGAAGAATGTCCACTTTGCCTTTCACCACTCTTGTCATCTTAGCATTGAACATTTGGCTATAGAGGGAGGAGCCCGTGAGATCCGTACATTGGAACACACGTTTTTCTGTCTAGAATCAGTCATTTGACGAGTAGCTCTTCGAGAGTGTATAAATATTTTATTCTACGATTCTCATTGTATAACAATTTTACCGTCCCTGATCGATCCCTGATGTGTGTCAATGACCATATTTGTGTTTGTACAGCGGAACTTTTCCAAATCAGTCAGTTTATTTGTACTGCTGGCATTGTGCTGTGGAAAAGACAATCCCCACCCCTTCCATTTCATTAAAAAGTTCTTTGGAGTTTTACTGTGAAGTTGTGTATTTTTTCAATTCAGTGTTATAATCTATGATTCTCCTGACTGATTTAGTAGGTATGGATATAAATTAATACAAACATTCCTGTTTCTCCTCTTCATTTTGATATCTTAAACTCTCCCACGTCTTTTAAGCTATATGTACCATTTGTAGCAGTTTGCATTCAATGTTTCTTTTCTCTCTGTTATTTTGTGTGTGCATATATTTGTGTGTGTGTTTTGTCTTGTATGTAGGAAAAACTAGATAGCTAGTGTTTAGCACTGCTGTAAAATCTTTGTCATCTTAGTCCCTTTGTATGTTGGCACCCATTTTTCACTTGAAGTAGAAATTTTGAATAATATATCTCAACTTCAACTTTTTACCAGTGTGACCATCAAGGACATTATTCTAGTTTTCTGTTTCCTTCTGTCTTTACCTACCACTTCTTATAATATTCTAGTATTCTTTCAACCTAGTCCAATGTGTACCCTTTACATACTATTTTTTCCCACCTTGTCCCCGCCCCCTCCCCATTTTGTGTTAACTTCAGAAAAAAGTAGGGTATGGACAAGAGCTGGAGGAAGAGCCCATGGAGGACTTTAGGGATCCCTACCTGCACAGGAGGGCTGCCCCACCTCAGGAGCGTCAGTGGCCTTCTCTCAGAGGTCCCAGGCCCCAACCAGGCTGCCCTGAAAGCATTGCCCATGAGACCCCAGCTTAAATCTATAATTATATCTATTCAGTGGTGACCAGGTGTTCAAAAGTCAGACTTTCCTCGGTCACTTCTTGACATGTAGCGTTCATTCTTCAGGATTTCTAATGGTGGAAATGTGGGCTCCTTAACTTTTGCGTATTATCTACTCATTTTCTCTTGCTTTGATACATGGACAGCTTGGCTGAATATGAAGGACGTGCCCACAATGACTTGCGTTGAGTTTTTAGAAAACATTGTCCTCCTCGGTAGATGTGTTGAGACGTGGAATGTAATCTGATTTTCTCCTACTCGGTGCCAAGGGAGGTCTGGAGCTTCACAGGAATTTTTTTCTTTAAAAAACAAATCATTCAGCCCTAATAGGATGGGTGTTAAAGTTGAACATGCCAGTCTATTTCTCCCAGATATCTATGACTTTCTCTCTGACCCCTTCCCAGTATCTTTGATCCATTCCCTTTCTGTTCAAAGCTTTCATTTTTGAATTCAATGTGCCCTATGATTGTAGGCATGTAAAATTCTTTATACATTTTCATTGAGCCTGTTTTTCAGAGATTTTTCTTTACTTCAGTTTTTCCCTAATTACTGCCAATTCTCGTTTCCTTATCGTGTCTAGTTTGTGTTCTGGGTTCCCTTTCTTGTCCGTGTGAGTCTGAGTGTGTGTGTGTGTGTGTGTGTGTGTGTGTGTGTGTGTGTGTGTGTGTATCTGGATCTAAAATAGGTTTAGTTTAGAATATTTATTTTAGAAATAGTTCCTGTTTCATATTTTTCTTGTTTTTGTTTGATTTTGAGAGAAGTCTTTTCATGAGCTGAAATCTCTAACTCTATTTTTGTTTTTCTCTAATGTCAACTTAGAAGAAATGTCTGCTCTGTGATTTTCATTTCCACCAGAGT